CATGCAGGGGCAGGTGAGGGTGTGGTGGGGGACAGGAGGGAGGAGGGGGAGACCTTCAATGAAGAAAGGGAAGAAGGAAGGGAAAATAAAACCCATCAGCTCCTCCTCACTTCCTCCCACCACTTTGGTCTTTGAAATTATCCTAAATCCTATTCCATCTCTTCTTCTGCCTGCCCTAGCCCCTGGCTGCTCTTCAATAAATGCCCAAGAAAGTTGGAATCTGGGAATTCTTTTGAAAATAAATGGATCCTATTACATTCTATAGATATGGAAAGACTCGTTATTAGCACCTATATGCAAAATTTTCCAGTCACTATACCATAAGAGTGTAAGAGAAAAAAACAGAGAAGGCAATAGGCTTTTAAAAATTACCTGTTGGGGCCGGCCCTGTGGCTTGGTGGTTAAGTGTGCGCGCTGCGATGCTGGTGGCCCGGGTTCGGATCCCGGGTGCGCATCGAGGCACCACTTCTCCGTTCATCCTGAGGCCGAGTCCCACATACAGCAACTAGAAGGATGTACAGCTACGAAGGATGTGCAGCTACGACGTACAACTACCCACTGGGGCTTTGGGGGGAAAAAATAAAATAAATAAAATCTTTAAAAATTACCTGTTGCCTTTTTGTTCTAGTCAGACCTTCAACTGATTGGATGAGGCCCACCCACATTAAGGAAAGCAATCTTCTTTACTTAGTCTACGAGTCAAATATTAATCTCATCCAGAAATACCCACACAGACACACCTAGAGTAATATTTGGCCAAATATCTGGGCAACCTGTGGCCCAGTCAAATTGACACATAAAATTAACCATCACCTATTTCCCCAGGGTTATGAGAAGGAAAATCCCTAAGTAAGTCCCAGTAGGTATATGATTAAGGAACAGGTGATTGGAGAATGTGAAAATCTGTTCTATTCCACACTACTGTATTCTTGCCTTCCCAGTGCAAGGGCATTAACATCTGTTAAATGAGTGAACTACTGGCACAAGGAGAAGAGTAACTCTTTTAAATGCTGTAGAGACTGAAGGAGGCAAACCTATAGACTGAGAAGGACCTCCCTGAGAGTCCTTAATCCCCAGAGCCTCTCACTCCCTCTTTTTGCCCCCACTCTTCCCAAGAACCTTATCATCGTGCTTATTATTTCTCTAGGGAAATGGATCCTGAGTGCTAAATAACTAACGTAGAAACTTTGGGAACAGAAGGTGTTTTTAAGTTGGGAGAATGCCTTCTTGCACTATTCATTATGGGAGAGGATTGTTACTTGTAACAGCATTATCTAAGAGCTAGAGGTTGCTTATTTTTTACTTCCTCTCCCATTATCTGCTTTTAGTGTACCTCCAGAAAGTTTTAGATAAAAATTAGCACATAAACATATAGGCTGGTGGTCCTAATCACCTGCCTTCAGCTATAGCTGTGTACCTGACTGCTGCCAGGTGTTAATATTCACCAGCTCATGTCCACGTAACCCCTGTAAAGTAACTGAAGTGGACTGTAATTAATTTGTTTTTTTTTTTCATCTCTTCAGGTTTAACTCCAGGAAAAATATACTTTAAATGAGACCTTTGAGGGTTTTTTTGACAAAAGAAAAATAGGTATTATAGCAGATTATATTTTCCTTAAATGACTGCAACATCATCTTTCATTCCACATGCTTTTTTTTTGTTTTTGCTGAGGAAGATTCGCCCTGAGTTAACATCTGTTGCCAATCCTCCTCTTTTCGCTTGAGGAAGACTGGCCCTGAGCTAACATCTGCAGCAATCCTCCTCTATTTTGCATGTGGGTCACCACCACAGCATGGCTTGATGAGTGGTGTAGGTCTGTGCCTGGGATCCAAACCTGTGAACCCGGGCCATGGAAGCAGAGCATGCTGAACTTAACCACTATGCCACCAGGCCAGCCCCTCTTCCTCTTTTTATATGTGAGCCCCCGCCACATGGCCACATGCTCTTTTTACAATACGACTGACATTCCTCCTATTGAGAGGTATGGTCTATGTCCTCTCCCCTTAAATGTGGTGTTTTTTTGATAGCTTCGACAAATAGAGTACAGTGGAAGCGATGCTATGTGACTTCTGAGATTAGGCCATACAAGTCAATGCGGCTTCTGCCTTGTCCTCTTGGGATTCTCTCTTGGAATGCTCTCTTTTGGAACATAGCTGCCAGGCAGTGAGGAAGGCAAGCAGCCACATGCAGAGGCCACATATGTACAGGTATTCCAGCTGACAGCTGAGGTCCTCAGAACAGCCAGCATTAATTGCCAGACAGGTGAGAGAACAAGCCTTCAGATTCCAGACCCTGGCTTTGACTTTGAGCTGTCTCAGCTGATTTCATGTGGCGCAAAGACAAGCTGTCCCACCGAACCTTGCACAAACTGCATATTTGTGAGCAAAATAAATGACTGCTGTTGTTTAGGCCATTGAATTTGCAATGACCAGACAAGTATAAATAACACTACTATAGATACTTAACATATACTTAAATCATGTCCAATTTCTTACATCAATCTTAAATTCTCTTATAATTCATATAGCACACAGCCCTAAGAACCACGCCACTCTATACCTGTCCTTGTTCCTACATTTTCACAAAGCAATCTGTCCATAAGTCTGAGAATTATGGTGATCTCAGCTGATCAGGTTATTTTATTTATTTATTTTTTGTGAGGAAGATCAGCCCTGAGCTAACATCTGATGCCAATCCTGCTGTTTTTGCTGAGGAAGATTGGCCCTGGGCTAACATCCATGTCCATCTTCCTCTACTTTATATGGGACACCACCACGGTATGGCTTGACAAGCGGTGCAGCGGTGTGTGCCCGGCATCCGAACTGGTGAACCCCAGGCCACTGCAGAGGAGCATGCGCACTTAACTGCTGCGCCACTGGCCGGCCCCTGATCAGGTTATTTCTTGATTCAACCTGTACCCTAACACCAGTTTAGGGGCCGTAGAGAATTTACCGGTATCTTTGCAGAATAAAAAAATGAGAGAGGTTTCTTGCTTTATTAAACACTCTTTACAACTGCAAAATTGACTCTTTCCTACACCCTTATCCCAATCCTTCTTAGCAGTTTTGAATAAGGGGTGTCAGGCGAAGGTGAGTAAAAGGGTATTTTCATAACTGTTAACAACTCATTTAGACACACTCTTCCCCAACCCTTCCTAAAGGAGTGTGCTGGATGTTGGTGAATTATTATTACACTTTTTGCTTCATAAGGATTATAGTGTAAGGGGTTTCATCTGGAAAAATATGTTTGGGCTCCCATAACAATTTTTTTTTTTTTTGGTTAGGAAGATTGTCCCTGAGCTGACATCTGTGCCAACCTTCCTCCCTTTTTTGTATGTGGGACACTGCCACAGCATGGCTTGATGAGTGGTGTGTAGGTCCACCCCAGGGATCTGAACCTACCAACCCTGGGCTGCAAACCAGAGCTCGTGAACTTAACCACTAGGCCACTGAGCCAGCACCCCATAACAAATTTTAACTACTAGAAATGGCATTTTTTTTTTGAAAATACAATTAACCAGTAATTTTCCCTCTCCTCTTTTTTTTTGGCCTCCAAAACGTTTAAAATACCTGCTTACATGAGTGATTATTATGTGCAGGTATTGTGAGAATCCAAAGATGTACAAGACATGGATTTTTGCTCTTTGAAGACGAGTAAGTAATAAGGGTTACCAGTGAAGGTGTAGTAGTCATATTGTAGAAGGATCCGCCTTGAGACAACCAAGAAATAACTCTGTATTTTAATAAATTCTTAAGAATCCTGGGACCTAGTCCTATCAGTCAACATGTCAAAGCTCTCTACCACGTCCTTCATTTATTAAAAAGAATCCAGTTTCCATTAAGTCAAAACAAACAGATCTTTAGTTGTCTTTTCCTGTCTCATTTCTCCTTTTCTTTTCCCCAGATCTTTTCTCTGGGTGCCTTACAAGATCCTCTCCCCATTCGGCTTCTCTCACTTTACTGTTTCTTCTCCTTTACTTGGTTATCCCAGCTTCCCAACCTTTTGCAACAGCTCGCAGGAAATCGCTCCCTCCCCAGCTCTTCATTCTCGAAACCCACCAGACCTGGGTTATACTGTGTACCTTTTATAAATGAGGCTCAATAAAAAGGCCCAGGAAACCGTGCACTGGCTTCCTAAATTTCATTTTTTTTAAGTGCTTCAGACACCCAAGGCCTGACTGAGGAGTCAGGAGACTGGGATCCCTGCCCACGTGGTAGCGACCTGTAATCAGGAGCCTCAGGCACTACTGACGAGACAAGGAGGAGTAACGACACTAGCATACGAAGCGGAGCTCGGGAGGAGCCACGACAGTGTCCTGCGCGCCTCCCACGGTGCCCGCCGCGGCAGTCACGCTCCAGAGGGCCAAGATGGCGCCGTCCTGCGGACGCCCAGGCGTGGGGGGGCGGGGCCTCTGCGTCACGTGACCGCCCTCGCGGGCCGCGCGTACCCCACTGCCCCAGGCGCGCGCCGGCAGTCTGGCGGCCGAGGAGGCAGTGGCCGTATGCCTCTGGGGCATTATTTGGGGTTCCTCACAGCCGCGAAGCTCTCTCCCGGCAGCGGAAGGGCGGAGCGGGGCCAGGAAAGGGGGCGCTAGGCCGTGCAGAGGCAGAGGGGCTGTGGGACGGGGACCCTACAGCCGGCGCCGAAGAGGGAGTTTGGAGCCCCCGGCAAGGGGCTGGGCGGGAGGAGACGGCGCGGGCGTCCTGGTGACGGCCAGGCGCCGAGGGCGAGGCTGTTGGGGAGATCCAGGGCATTCTGCGCAGTCCATGGGCGCCGTTGGGGAGTCGGGGGTCCCCTCGGGGCTCCGACCACTTGGCTTGGGCATTTCACAGGTTTCCCACCGCCATCCAGCCTCGAAGCTAACAGGATTGAAAAACGGCTTCAGCCAAATGTTCTCTTTCCTGTAAGGAGAGGGGCTGAGCCCGTCAGCCAGAGGGGACTCGAGAGGGATGCCCCGGCCCTCGGGGTGTGGAAGAAGCAGAAGTTGGAGGGAGCGGCGGGAGCGCAGAGTGCCCTCCTTGACAATCAGATGCCTCCTCCTGTATTTCCATCTCTGCTGAGTGGGCTTGTCCGCGCTGACCACCGGCGAGAAGGGACGGACGACGCTCGGCGGGCTCTGACCGTGTCGCCTTCATGTGGCTGCTGACGGGCACCCAGGAGGGAACGGGAATGGGGTGCAGCCTCGCCCTCGTCCCTCCCCGCCTCCCAGGAGCCGGGGCTGGCGGGGTGGAGACGTGAGGGGACCCGCGGCTGCCCTGGGTTTTCCAGGACTCCACCAGGCACCCGCACGTCCCGCCGCGCGCGGGGCAGGAGAGGCTTGGCCCGGGGGTCCGAGGCGAGCGGACGGCCCGGCGACGAGTGGAGCCGGAGCCCCAGTCTCGCCATGGGGCATAACGGCAGCTGGATCTCCCGCAACGCCAGCGAGCCGCGCAACGCGTCGGGCGCCGAGGCGGCGGGCGCCAACCGCAGCGCGCTCGGGGAGTTCGGCGAGGCGCAGCTGTACCGCCAGTTCACCACCACCGTGCAGGTCGTCATCTTCATAGGCTCGCTGCTCGGTAAGCCGCCCGCGGGGGCCCCTGCCGGGTGGGCTTCCCCGAGGGCACAGGCTCAGAGAGCCGGGATCGGGGGTCGCCGGAGCCCCCGTGGGTTTCGGGGTGCCTGGCAAAGTGCAGGTAGTTGCAGGAGGTTTAAGAATGCCAGAGTAACTGCAGGGAAGTTAAGGCGGCGACGTCGACTCCAGCCCCTAAGCTGGAAGCAGAAGAGTTCTGGTAGGGCTTTCTCCCCGCCCGAGGACGGTGCCTGGTCCAGGCGGAGGTCAGCCTCCCCAGGCAGCCCTTGCGGAACCTTCGGGATCGGCACAGGGTTGTACTCATCATTCCCTGCCTCTCGGATGCCAGGGCGGAGCGCTGGCCCGAGTTCTTGTTCACAGATAACGAGTAACAAAGCTTCTGTTTTGTTGCTGATGACTGATGTGTTTTGCGCTCCCATCTATTCCCTACATAGAAAATTATTCGGAAAGAGCCTTATTTTGCGCGTGTTTTATGGCTTGCTTCTTTGGCACAACGATCTGCTGGTTAACAACCCTGTAGAGTTAAACTCTGTGTTGCCTTCTGATATTTTTAAAACCCCCAAACAAAACAGATCCCAGTCTACTTCACCTATGTTTTGTTTGAAGTCCAGAATAAAGACAGCATAAAAAACCACAAACCACCACACACAGCAGATTTAGGTCTACTTGTTCCAGAGAGAAAAGATCAACGAACTGAAAAGACTGGTTGGTAGAAACGTTTGTCCACTAGTGTGAGAATCACCTGTACTTCTGGTAGTTACTCTTTAAATGATAAATGATGCAATCAGTATTCATTTAGGTTGAGGTGTGTTGAACATGTTGCATATTACTTGTAAATATGTGGCTTCCCTTCAAATGTAAATTTTCTCATGTGGCATTTATAAGGATGTAAAAAGATTGTGGTTATGTGTGATATTAGGGCCGAGAGCAATCTTAAAGTTTCGAAGTAGGAATAGATTACTTTTTTCTAGACACCTGTGAATTTCCATGGAAACCCAGACAACTGACATCAAAAAGACTATGGAAGAATTTTAAGTGTTTGGAATTTCCCTTCATAATTTCTCTAATTGTCATCATCCTGTCCACTCTATCATAATATTTATCTTCTCTTTTTTGTCATGAGGGCATTTTCAGGAGTAGACATCAGTGTGGCTATGTCTAGATGTGTGTGTGTGTGTCAGGATGTGTTTTTATGAGTGGAGTGTTCAATGCACATTAACAAAGCAAAAGCTTGTGTTCCAAATATTTTCAATATTCGTTTAACAAACAGCAAACACTGAACACCTACTAGGTACCAGGCACAATGAATTGTAGATTATGGGGAGTTAAATTCTGGTATTGTGACATTTACCTAAAGTGTAGATTACTGGCGAGGCTATAGAAGTGGCTGCATTTTTATTTCTGCAGGGTTTTATACACACACACGTAAATATATTTGTTTAATTTTCCCCCGTGGTAACTTTAAATTTATTTATTTATTTATTTTTCTCCCAAAGCCCCAGTAGATAGTTGTATGTTATAGCTGCACATCCTTCTAGTTGCTGTATGTGGGACACGGCCTCAGCGTGGCCGGAGAAGCGGTGCTGACGCGTCAGCACGCGCCCGGGATTCGAACCGGGCCACCAGCAGCGGAGTGTGCGCACTTAACCGCTAAGCCACGGGGCCGGCCCTCCCCCGTGGTAACTTTAACCCTCAAGAAAGATGGTGTTGGGAGAAATTTTCCCATAGTTTGACTCTAAAAATTTGAGTACTATTTAAGTAAAAGACAAAGCATGTATGTAAAGGGTATAGCAAATAGTGCACATTTAATAAGTGTTAATTTTGCTTCCATGTACCTTCTATTATTGTAACTTGCATTGGATTTAGGAATTCCTAGATAAATCTGCCCTTACGTCAACTCTTTTTCCACACAGCACTTTAATTGACATGCAAAAACTGCTCTTGTGGATGTCTCCAGAAAGGAGACTAATTTTCCCCTTGATCTTTGGTTATGCCTGACTTGGCCTAGGGGGACATAGTTTTCCCCTACACATTACTTGGGCCCTCCTAAGAGAGAATTTCATTTGCTCCTTTTTATTTTCAGAAGAAGTATAGATGTGGTGAAATTTCTAGAAATGAAAAGTCAGAGAACTTGTGTGAAAGTGAAAGGCATTTCTGGTTTCCTTAAAAGTTTAGGTGAATCATAACATTGCTTCTGTATTTGTTACTTACTGGTATTCTTGATTCATTGTCCTCTGAGGATTTGACCCATCTAAACATATCAATGTAATTGAATCCTCCTGGGAAGCCAGTTGAGGCTCAGAGCTTAAGTTCCAAAGCCATGTGCAGTCAGTTTCAAGGCAAGTAAACTTGGGAAGCATGGCTTCATGAAGCCCCAAAATAGAGAAAAATCACAGACTAGGAATAAAAGAAAAAGATGTATCATGGAACAATCTGTAAGCCTGAAAAGCAAATGGAGGATGGAATAGTATCTAGAATAGCATGTGATACTGATTTAATCTGCTTGTTTCCCCTATCTCCAAACATAGATGAATGAGTTTTTCTTTTCTTTTATTCCCTTTAAACAAATTCAAATATACTTCCCATAGTATCTAAAAAGAATTTTTCGTTAGAATTTTCAGAGGCCCACTATTATGTGAAAATAATTCCTTTGTACTATTGATGTCTTGCAGCTCTTTTTGAAAACTTAGCGCCCTGTATTAGGAAAAATCCCCGACAACTTGGAATAACTATAGTATTTCAGCCATAGGGAATATTAATCGCTGTGTTGAAAATGAACTCAAGACTTGTATATAATATTATTCAAATAATGCTTTTTGAAGGTTTGTATAAACTAGTGTTTCTCAGCCTTCTTTATGCAACATCTTGGGTTATCTTCACATATGCTGTAGATCTTGAAAGAGAGTCAAGTAATTGAGATTCCCCTTCAGTAAGTCTGTGGCACACACACTTTTAGTAGTGAACGGTGTGAAGTCAAAGACTCAAAAGATTTGGAATCACCATTTCTGATAAATGCTTTGGATCTAACTCCTCTTTTTTCCTTTCTCTCTCTTTTCCCCATGCTTTTTGGATTCATAATCCAAGTGCCTGGAGAGCTGGGCCCCTCTCTAGTGCTTTCACTTGACAAAGGTCAGTAGTTGTGACCTGGCCTTTACCTCTAAGCTCCTCCTGCACAAATTGCCTGTCATGTGTGCTTATCATCACTGGAGGCATTTAGTAGGTTTTTATAAATGCATTTACTCTTATTTAAAGAAAATTAGCACTGTGGACAATAGCCAACAAGTAAGTATTCTGCCCTGAAATTTATTTTAAAATAGAGAAATCAGTCTGCCTTCTTCTTGCCAAACCAACATATGTATGGTTCTTATTTTTTAGCTATATCCTCTTTTCTTACCAATGGTCTGTAGTGAACCACCATGAAATTGATGACCCCAAGTAAAAGTCCAACTTGTCTGTGGTCTGATTCCTTGAGGTGGTTATCGAGGTATTCATTTCAAAGGAAAGGTGGGGAACTGACCTGTTTAATTGGTTTGACAGATGATATGGATAAACACCATTTTTGTTCATGATTGTTTATAGTCTTTCAACAAAATCATATTGGGCGCTGGCAACGTTCATGGTACTTGTTTGACAGGGAAATATACTTGTGTTTTTGATACTCGTTGAAATCAGTCAGATAATAGCTGGATAATTCTTGGAGTTCCTTAGTTAAATGTTTGATGGAAACAGTGTTAATACGAGTTAGTGCTTATAATTCATAATTACTCAGGCTGATTTTTAGTTAACCATAATTATAGCCAATAATAATGTAGTATCAGCAGCCTTATTCTACCTGCTTTTTCTGTTTTTGGTATGCCTAGAAACCTAATAGACCACATCAAGAATAGGGTGTTCTCAGTTGACCTAAGGAGTTTAAAATGGGGAGCTCAATGGTTAGCACCCTGGGTAGGTGAATTCCTAATGTATTGACTCAGATTGCCTCACTTTGTCTTTGATTTCCGTATGATGTATGCATTCGCACCCATTCTGCTATAATGTAGTGTGTTAGGCACAGAAAATCAATCTGAACTCCATTTGGATGACACACTTGGTAACCCTATGCTTCTCCTTTCTAGGTCTTCAATGTATATTCTTCCACTTTCCAATTCTTTGTGGAAATTAAATTCTACTGTGAAAACTTAACAGCTTTATTGAGATAAAATTCATATACAATACAATTCACCCAATTACAGTATACAATTCAATGGTTTTTAGTATGTTCACAGAGTTATGCAACTTATCACCCCCCAAAAAAAACCACATACCTGTTGGTAGTCTCTTTCCATTTCCCTCAATGTCCTGAGCCCTAGGCAACTACTAATCTACTTTATGTCTCAATGGATTTTCCTGTTCTGGACATTTCATGTGTATGGAGTCATACAATGTGTGGTTCTTTGTAATTGGCTTCTTTCACTCAGCATAATGTTTTCAAGGTTCATCCATGTCGTAGGATATACTTCATTCCTTTTCTATTGCTGAATAATATCCCATTGTATGGATATACCACCTTTTCTTTATCCATTCATCAGTTGATGGCCATTTGGATTGTTTCCACTTTTTGGCTATTATGAATAATGCTGCTCTGAACATTTGTATAGTTTTCGTGTGGAGATAGTGTTTTTAGTTCTTTTGGGTATATAGCAAGAGTGAAATTTCTGGGTAACTCTAAATTTATCCTTTTTAGGAACTGCTTTCCAAAGTGGCTGCATCATTTTACATTACCACAGCGGTGTATGAGGGTTCTCATTTCTCCACTTCCTCACCAACATTTGTTATTATTTGTCTTTTTGTTTATAGCCATCCTAATGGGTAAGTGGTATCTCACTGTGGTTTTTTTTTTTTTTTTTTTTTTTTTGAGGAAGACTGGCCCTGAGCCAACATCTATTGCCAATCCTCCTCCTTTTTTTTCCCCCAAAGCCCCAGTAGATAGTTGTATGTCATAGTTGC